AGACAACAGTGGCAGTTAATTTTTTTTTTTTTTACATCAGAAATCAATTTAGGGTCTGTGGCTGACCATCGCAATTAAGAGGGATCCACGTGTCTTATCTGTCCAGTTGGGAAACAGGTCTACAATGACCAAAAGGTGCAGACAACAGGAGGCAGTCGTAAACCTGCCCTAGCATTTGCTGGCCGCCTGTAATATTTACTAGATGGTTTTACTCTGGACTGTTTACTGAAAACAACATCCTGTCGCGAAAGCTGGGGCTTTTTGACAATGTTAAACATCAAGGTGGCCTGTAAAAAGATGGCGATAGAGAGTTCAGTTTCCTGAAAATGAGGCAGAGGGAGACCTCCGCCAGTGTGGATACAATAAATTAAAGATTCATTGGCTATCAAAGCACATATGGCTTGAGAATTGACCAAATAGAGACTTTTAGGCATACCGTGGCGAGGGCGACGTTCTGTAAAGAACCTGTTGATTTCTGATGATGATGATGGTGAATTTGCCGTTACCTACTGAACGGTTGACGCTCATACCATAATGGAAAATCAGCACAAAGCTGTACACCATAAGACTGTGCGTCTGTCACCAATATCAGCATATATAAGCGTCTGTGGCTTAGGCGGTGCCAACGTACTTCGTAATGCTGGGCTGCCGGGTTTGATCCCAACTGCGGACGATTTGTCTTGCGCTGGTTTCGAGCGTGGAACCAGGAGCTGACCGTTCATAAAGCAGTGGCAAACTACTGAATGTAAATTTTGCCTAGAAAAACTAAACAACAGATAGGGGCTGCTGGAGTTGGTTTTGCAACGTCCTGTAAAGGATATGCAACTAACTTTTCTAAAATGTCACCGTATGCCATATTCCACAAAAACGTCAACGAATCCCTTGCTTTTTTTTTTCTTATCTCCTAATTGTTTCCTCCCCCTGGAGAACATAAGATCTACCCAGTTTATCCTGCTCCCGGTTGATGACGTCTTCTAGCAGACGATCAGCCTCAATTTATGGAGATTATAAATGTTTACCGCTTCTTAATTTGTCCTAACCATTAGCCATCTTTATGTCGTCATGAGCCGCAAAGAGAACAAGTATTGAGGGGGAAGAAAACGGGGCAGAAGGGATTTGACAATTCAAACACGGATCGCTAGGATGCAGATTCTCGGTTTTCTAATGAACAATGTCTGTTTTGACATGTTGAAGTCCCAAGGGTAAAAACCTGGCCACCGTGTAGTTGCGTGAAGTTGTGTATATCCTTATCATGGACAGGTGAGTGATATTCCTACTAAATTTTGATCTAGTTTCAGAGTATAATGTTTGATTATTTAATTACTTTCTTCTTCTTCGTTTTGTTATTCTTATGATTCTTCTTCGTGAGTATTTCCAGCCCTTGGGGTTCACTGCTGAAAATTTCATTAGGCTCCGTTTACCTTTGTGACTAACCTTCTCTTTCCAGTTAGGCACTTTAAGTGTTTAGAGGTCTGTCTGGACCCGACCAGCTAAAGGGATCCCCATTGTTCACCATCGTCCGGATCAAGACCGGATTTATACTTGTTGATGCCCTCTGCCCTATAAAACCTCCATGTCCCTACCGTTTTCATTTACGCCGGTTACTTAAAATGTAGAAGTTAATTAAATGTAGTTGATACGAGTCAAGATGATTACACTAACCAGTTTAAATTAGCTACAGTAAGCTAAAATGCAGCGGTTTTCGACATGTGGGTCGCGACCCCTTTGTGGGTCGAGCGACCCTTTCACAGAGGTCGCCTAAGACCATCTGAAGACACATATTCACTGAAGTTATGTAGTAGCAACAACAATAATTTTGTAGTTGAGGGGGCCGCCACAACATAAGGGACTGTTTTAATGGGTCGCTGAATTAGGAAGATTGAGAACCATCGAGCAAGAGCAAATACAATCATGAGATAATATCTTCTTCTATAGTCCATTCCATGTGACGTTAGTAGTCATGTCTATCCACAACCTTCTGTCTCGTGTACTTTCAGTCACCTCTGACACAAATGATCTTCCATTGTGCATGCGGTTTAGCGTTAGTAGTCATGTCTATCCACAACCTTCTGTCTCGTGTACATGCAATCACCTCTGACACAAATGATCTTCCATTGTGCATGCGGTTTAGCGTTAGTAGTCATGTCTATCCACAACCTTCTGTCTCGTGTACATGCAATCACCTCTGACACAAATGATCTTCCATTGTGCATGCGGTTTAGCGTTAGTAGTCATGTCTATCCACAACCTTCTGTCTCGTGTACATGCAATCACCTCTGACACAAATGATCTTCCATTGTGCATGCGGTTTAGCGTTAGTAGTCATGTCTATCTACAACCTTCTGTCTCGTGTACTTTCAGTCAACTCTGACACAAATGATCTTCCATTGTGCATGCGGTTTAGCGTTAGTAGTCTTGTCTATCCACAACCTTCTGTCTCGTGTACTTGCAGTCACCTCTGACACAAATGATCTTCCGTTGTGCATGCGGTGTAGCGTTAGTAGTCATGTCTATCCACAACCTTCTGTCTCGTGTACATGCAATCACCTCTGACACAAATGATCTTCCATTGTGCATGCGGTTTAGCGTTAGTAGTCATGTCTATCCACAACCTTCTGTCTCGTGTACATGCAATCACCTCTGACACAAATGATCTTCCATTGTGCATGCGGTTTAGCGTTAGTAGTCATGTCTATCTACAACCTTCTGTCTCGTGTACTTTCAGTCAACTCTGACACAAATGATCTTCCATTGTGCATGCGGTTTAGCGTTAGTAGTCTTGTCTATCCACAACCTTCTGTCTCGTGTACTTGCAGTCACCTCTGACACAAATGATCTTCCGTTGTGCATGCGGTGTAGCGTTAGTAGTCATGTCTATCCACAACCTTCTGTCTCGTGTACATGCAATCACCTCTGACACAAATGATCTTCCATTGTGCATGCGGTTTAGCGTTAGTAGTCATGTCTATCCACAACCTTCTGTCTCGTGTACATGCAATCACCTCTGACACAAATGATCTTCCATTCTGCATGCGGTTTAGCGTTAGTAGTCATGTCTATCTACAACCTTCTGTCTCGTGTACTTTCAGTCAACTCTGACACAAATGATCTTCCATTGTGCATGCGGTTTAGCGTTAGTAGTCTTGTCTATCCACAACCTTCTGTCTCGTGTACTTGCAATCACCTCTGACACAAATGATCTTCCATAGTGCATGCGATGTAGCGTTAGTAGTCATGTCTATCCACAACCTTCTGTCTCGTGGACTTCCAGTCAACTCTGACACAAATGATCTTCCGTAGTGCATGCGGTTTAGCGTTAGTAATCATGTCTATCCACAACCTTCTGTCTCGTGTACTTGCAATCACCTCTGTCACAAATGATCTTCCATTGTGCATGCGGTGTAGCGTTAGTAGTCATGTCTATCCATAACCTTCTGTCTCGTGTACTTCCAGTCAACTCTGATACAGATAATCCTCCTTGCCATGATGTCAGACTGTCCAGCATCTTTTCTCTCGGTCTCCCTCTGCCTCTCCTCCCCTCCAACTTCCCTGCTGTCACGATGTACTCTAGTTTTCTTCTTCTTATCACATGACCACAGAATGTAGACTGTCTCTTTCTGATATAGGCGTCGGTTGTTGTACGGACATGACTTTGCTGTGCAAAATACTCACACTAGGTTGCAAGTGTTTTCTGAGAGAGCAGTGCCCATGCTGGGCAGGTTGTCCTAGCCATTGTGCCTACAGAGACAACCTCTGCCTAGCACAGTTGAAGTGGTGACCTTTACTGAAAACTTTTCAGCTGCTCACCACGTTGATCCACAATATAACCCAAATAATATTATTACACTTAGAAAATGTATGGGGAATATATATATATATATATATATATATATATATATATATATATATATATATATATATATATATATATATATATATATATGAAATTACATTAATTAAAAAGAAGAAATACATTTTATGACGCCTTTGTAGATTTGAGATCACAAGTTGTAGTTTAAATACATTATGCGTAAATCCCGCTCTGGTCTGTATGTTATCTGTCCACGGTCTTCCTGGTCTGCCTCGCAGTATGCTTCGGTTAAATTCTTTTGTATACGTAAGTTTGGTTTTGTTGTCTGCCATTTCTTTAAATGTCTAAACTATTGCAGGGCGAATGACACAGTGTGTTGTGGTTTGCATCTAGGCTGCGATATCTGCACCTTTCACGCCAGAACATCTGATTTAAGGAAACTCATAATCAGGTGTTATTTCACCATATAAACGTTGGGTGGGAGTGGGGGGGGGGGTGTGTCTGTAACTCCTTCCCCCTCCCTCTACACAAGGTTCCAGAACCCACAGTAAAACTAACAATAGTTACAGATTACTACTCGCATTGTTTCTAGTCGGGAGTCGCCGTGGCGGAGCGGCTAGGTCGTAGGAAGGTCGTAGGTTCGCTCCCAGGCGGAGCCGGACTTTCTTTCTTTAAAAAAAAAATGACCTTGGCTCCCAGGTCGACCCAGCCTTGAGTGGTTACAGTCGCGGGAAGTAAAGGTGGCCGGTGTGATGCTGACCACATCACCCATCTTGTGCCGATTGTTCTATAAAATATAGGTCTAGCCCTATATGCCCACAAGCCTAAGGGCGTGGAAAGGGTCCTTTACTTTACTTTTACTATTTCTACTTAGGGAGCTGCCATGGTGTAGTGGGTCGGATTCAGGTCTTGACGGAGCCAGACTTTTATTTAAAAAAAAAAACTTTGAGGTCTTTGAGGTCGACCCTGCCTTCAGTGGGAACCAGATGCAGACTTGAGAAGTAAACGTGACCGGCGTGATTCTGACCACCTGACCCACTGAGTGCTAATTGATCTATAAAATACAGGTCCCGCTCTATATACCCAGTACTCATAGAAGCGTGGGAAAGGATCGTTTTACTGTTTGTGTTCAATCCTCAGCGTGGGGACGGCCAGCATGTCCAACTTCAGCGGCAGCTTCAGTGAGCGCATGCATGAGCTGGTCAGGGCGTTCTCCAGCCGCACACAGAGAGCCAAGGAGAGGATCTCACAACCGCCGACCCCGTCCTCGGAATCTGACTGTGACACCAAATCAGGTAAGTGCGCCAGGGTGATTGATTAGCACCTTTCTAGCTTTACCCTATGAGGAGGCACGGGGACTCACATCGAGTGTGATTAGCAAGACCTGTCCACGTTAAGAAACGTCTTCCACAGTTATATATTAATAAAGTAACAGAAAATGTATTGATTAGCCCTCATAGAAAAAGTAGAAAGATAGAAGAATACACGTCCACAGTTATAGCATGGGATCTCAGCACTGTTGTTGTCAGCATTTGTCTTTAGTCAGTATCTTTTCAGACGCTCAGCTCTCACCTTTGCAGTCATTTCTTCCTTCATTCTTGTTTTCCTTCCTTATGTACCCCCTCCCCACAACACGGTCCATGGCATTTCTTTCCCACGAGTCCACCCAAAAACATGTATCATTCATGTCCCACTTGCACGTCTTTATATCGCAGTAGAGGTCTGTCTTGACGTCTTCTACCCTACTTTAATTCAACACAAAGGAAGTTCTAAGAAACTCTCCCGTCCTTCATTCTACAGGAGTGACCCAGCCACCTGAGCTTCATAAACTGAGCATTAAGAAGACTTTTCAGAAGACTGCTCTGTCAAAGTCACACCCTACCTTATCTAACATCTTACTATTGAACTGGGTTAAACTTAGCTGTATGTTATAGTTGACGGTACACATCGGCGACCCAGTCGCCCATTAACTCGCCGGTAGACGACTTCGCCGCTGGCCGGGATAGTATGTGGGTCTGTCTCCTGTGATCGCATCAACACTGCAGGGGTCATTGTCATGGATCTTGGTTGCGTGCAGTGCTGAGCCATTTGTACAATAGGAATAAACTCACAGGGAGCAAGTACAGCAGGGATCTACCAGTCGTCAGTAGAAATTATCCTCGTCGACACGCGTTTCGGCCCACGATTCCTAGACGCATTCGGAGGTGGGCCCTCCTGAGTTCATGAAGCTCAGGGCTGGTTCCCCGCTGCACGGAATTACCGGATGGTGTTATTCTTTCGGCCAGAGACAAGAAGACTTGGTGGTTTCGCAGGAGGTACTGTGAGATAAGAAGTCGCCACGGCAGCCTAATTAAAGCAGTCAGCATGCCTGGACGACCGAGCGACAAGCTTACTTTGGTTTACCGGACACATGTTGGACTTTTATTAGCAGTTGGCAGAGGAACACTGGCAGACAATTCGGACACGATGGACTTTCAAGGGGTGAGAAACCCTTTTCCACTAGAGACCCGGACCAGCTCACCGAGGCCCGTCCCCTACGTTGTTGCGCTGCGTCCAAAGCCAGCTAGAGGCCCTTTCGGTTACCTCTCCCAGTTTTTTTAGTGTTCGTTTCCGTTCATTACCACGCAATCCTAGTTCTTGCACCACATTGTAGAGCGAAGTGGAAACGAGGCCTCTCGCTCCCACTTCGACGGCAAACACCCATACTGTGTACGCCTCGTTTCTCCTCAGACCGGCTGCTAAATCACTGTACTTCTCGAGCTTGTGCAAATGATTCTCCTCCATACGCGACTCAAACGGGACAGTCAACTCAATCAGGATGAGCTGCCGTTTTTGCGCAGAATGGAGAACGATGTCCGGTCGCAGGCCGGTTTTACGGATCAACTCGGGGTACCGTTCATGGCCTGGCAGATTAACCGCCAGTAACCAGTCCCTCGCAGGGTCTAGCACAGATGGAGCGAATGCGTTTTGGTTGATGATACCTTTTGGAACCTGCCCAGCCTTGAGGAAACGAATGGGGACGATGCTAGAACTGGCTCTGGCGTTAGCCCTCATTCTAGCCTGGTCGACAACGGCTGCTAACTCTTTTAGCACCTTGTTGTGTCGCCAGGTGTATCGGCCTTGACCTAGGGCTTTCCTGCACGCGGACAGGACGTGCTCAAGAGTTTGCTTCGATTTACACAACGGGCAAGTCGGATCGTACATAACCTATTGACAGTTATACCGCGGAAAACATGGATCGACAACATTAAAGACACTCCACGCCTTCACGGCATGACAATAGTGGCGGTGGCCAACGTGCACTTGATCGCAAATTATTCCTTCCCACGCCGCTTAATGGTAGAAGTGGTTTATGATGATGATGATTCACATGTATAACCTAAAGCTGCCCCTTCATTGCTGCTGGTTGAACGTGATGACCCCCTCCCCCCCCCCCCCCCCCCCAGCAAAATACATACCTACCAAAGTTGTCGGTACTACCTGCCATTGGTCGGAACTCGAGTCACGCCACTTGGACTCAAGTGCATCTTAAGTAGCGTAATTAACTCTTTCACTACCAGCATACTGTTTAACTCTTTCACTACCAGCATACTGTTTAACTCTTTCACTACCAGCATACTGTTGAACTCTTTCACTACCAGCATACTGTTTAACTCTTTCACTACCAGCATACTGTTTAACTCTTTCACTACCAGCATACTGTTGAACTCTTTCACTACCAGCATACTGTTTAACTCTTTCACTACCAGCATACTGTTTAACTCTTTCACTACCAGCATACTGTTTAACTCTTTCACAACCAGCATACTGTTTAACTCTTTCACTACCAGCATACTGTTTAACTCTTTCACAACCAGCATACTGTTTAACTCTTTCACAACCAGCATACTGTTTAACTCTTTCCCTACAAGCATACTGTTTAACTCTTTCACTAACAGCACACTGTTTAACTCTTTCACAACTAGCATACTGTTTAACTCTTTCACAACCAGCATACTGTTTAACTCTTTCACTACCAGCATACTGTTTAACTCTTTCACTACCAGCATACTGTTTAACTCTTTCGCTACCAGCATACTGTTTAACTCTTTCACCACCAGCATACTGTTTAACTCTTTCGCTACCAGCATACTGTTTAACTCTTTCACTACCAGCATACTGTTTAACTCTTTCACTACCAGCACACTGTTTAACTCTTTCACTACCAGCACACTGTTTAACTCTTTCACAACCAGCATACTGTTTAACTCTTTCACTACCAGCATACTGTTTAACTCTTTCACTACCAGCATACTGTTTAACTCTTTCACAACCAGCATACTGTTTAACTCTTTCACTAACAGCATACTGTTTAACTCAGTCTAATCCAAAAATCATGGGTTTGGGTCCTGGTGGTAGCGAATTTTATCTTCTTCTTGAAATATGACCTCGGCTCCCAGGTCGACCCAGACACGAGAAAGTACCAGGTGGAGTCCGGGGAAGTAAAGGCAATCAGCGTGACCACATCACCCACCCAGTACCGATTGATCTGTAAAATATAGGTCTAGCCCTATTTGCCCAATGCGCCCGTGGGCATGGAAAAGGATCACTTTCTCGCTTATCTACTTAACCCAAAATATGATTTTAACAACAATAACATGTTTAGTTCAGAATGAGTTTAAAGTTTTCTTCTTTTTTCTTCTTTTGGTAATATCTGCTCATGCTGCTGGACATCGCAGCTCATCAGACGATCAGCAGCCGAGCCAAGACGCGCTCGGTCGCCGTGATGTTATGCAGTCTCGTGGTGTCTCCTTCAATCTATAATCTTCTCGGTCTTTCCCTGCCTCTTGGTGTTAAGATTTTCAGAGTGTTCGCTCTTGCTGCTGGTATCGTGGGTTTCATTCTCATTAGATGACCAAACCATTTCATTCTTTGTTTCTCAATAAATTTGACGTTGGGTGTTGTTCCAACAGTTTTTGTGATTACATCGTTTCTCATTCGATCTCTTCTGGGTTTTTTTTACAGCCATTCTCAAACATCTCATCTCACAGATGGTTAGTTTTCTTTCGTGTTCTTTTAGTTGCAAGTTAAAACACTTAGAGTTAAGGAGGGCACTTCACAATTGGAGGAAAGTAAGCCAGTGTAACAACTGGATATGATGTAAGGAGTTAAACACATATATAATGTATCTGAGGCGACGAAGTCATGGCGAGTCTCTTACTACTGACATGTAGCTTTAACGACGTGTTAGGAGTCGTACTACACGGGCGCCCACTCTGAGGTTTGGTAATCGACGTCACATTTTAAAACTTGTTTATATAAAACAGGACAGAATCAATTCTGTTTCGATTATCAAGCTTTTACGTTTAATTTCTCACTGCCTTTTATGGTTTTACACATAAATAAACAAAGCGGAAACCCCTTATGCCGTAGAAATATTATATATATAATAAACAAACAGACAGTCACGCCACTTGGACTCGAGTGCATCTTAAGTAGCGTAATTAACTCTTTCACTACCAGCATACTGTTTAACTCTTTCACTACCAGCATACTGTTTAACTCTTTCACTACCAGCATACTGTTTAACTCTTTCACTACCAGCATACTGTTTAACTCTTTCACTACCAGCATACTGTTTAACTCTTTCACTACCAGCATACTGTTTAACTCTTTCACTACACTACACTGATTGGCACTCACAGCCAAATGTAGAAAGATAGAAGGACACACTGGACAACATTTAAACAAATCTTCTTAGTACATTTGTTTCCATAGCGAGGAGCAAACGCTATTCAGAGGTGACCGGTTTGATTCCCCACAAGGTGACTATAGCTTTAATTTGTATGTGTGTTGTAAGACTGTCGTCAGGCCTCGTTAGCTCAGTAGATAGGAGACTTGCTTTCAAATCAAGCAGCAACTCGCTGCAGCCCACAGCCTGTGTTCAAAACAGCCGGTTTCCGGGGTTCACCCAACCTCTAGGTTATAAGTACCAGAGTTAACATTCTGGGGTATATGGAGGAACGTCGCTGTAACTACGGAGTTGCGTGCGAGCGGCAACACAGTCGGACAGTTTTTTAATCAGCTGTCCGTACTGGTGGCAGAGCACTTATGGTTTATAACTGTGTGCAATGACGCTGGTTCACATCTCCCGTTTTGTGTGTGTGTGTGTGTTAGACTATCGTAAGCTGATAGTAAACTGTTACGTTTGCTGGATATTTATAATCTTTACTTTCCGGGACGTCAATCACCTCACACCCATTTTAGGCTGGGTATTCCCGGCAGCCGAAGCTGTTGTTGTAGACCAAACCGTGAC